GACGCCATTTGTTCGGTCGGCGCGATGTCTTCGACCCCCCTCGCGATCGGTGGCGGAGTGCCGATCGAGGTGGCCTCCGGCGCAGGTGGGTCGAGTTGCGCCGGCGGTGCGATGCCGCCCACGCCAACTGGCGGAACTCCTGCCCGTCGCTCGGGGCGCGCGCCGACTCCGGGTTTCTTGGCGCCCTTTGCGGTCTCGCCGGGGTAGACGCGCGGCGCGTTGCTCGCTCTTCGCGCGGGGCTGCCTGCGACGAGAAAACCGCGATGGCCGCGTGCATGCCAGTCTCGCTCTTCGCATCGTCGGACTGCGATTGCGCCAGCCGCGCGCTTCCGCTCGCGCCCGCCGGTGGCCGACGAGGCATAGGCTGCGCCGGCGGCAAGGACTGAGACGGCTCGCCGTCGTCGGCAGCGCCGACAGCAGTGAAGACCGGCTGAGGAGTTTCAACCATCTCCGGTTTCACAACGCGATCTTCTGCCCCTCTGCAATCCTGTCGGGCTTGACGATACTCCTCGGATGCCTCCTCGGCGCACATCTCGCGGGCGTTCCTCATGTTTCTCCGCTGGGACCCTCTTGGCGGTAGACGTCAATCTTTTGCCGCAGTGCATTATGCTGCTCTGCCGCGCAGGTCCACCCTTTGTTCCGCGACTCGTACCTGTCCTTCAACTGGTCGCATGCTGCAATGCGCCTGCTGCTCGTCCGCGTTCATGTCGGCGAATACTCCACGCAGACCTCTCTCTTGCTGCTGCGTCTGCTCAACGCCCCTGATTCCGACTAGGCGCCCATCTTGGTCACCCATTGCTGGTGCTCTCCTTCCGCGCGTTTGACGGTGGCTTCCGTGTGCGTCTCCTTGTTGCAGAATTTCAAAAACTTGCTAACTCCTGCTCGCTGAGTCGCCCGACCCGTTGTGCAACAGGATGCGGTCGCTGCGGCCCTCGACGCGGGTCTCTGCCGCTTTCGCGTCGAAGCGGGCGATCTGCTTAACGGTCTCCACGGTCACGTTGTGATGCCTGTGGCTTCTGCCCGCATGCCTGGCCACCTTTCCCAGCTGATCCCCCACTTTGTCGCGGACGCTCTTGCAGGTCGGCGAGCCTCTTGCGTCTCTTCAAGCCCCTGTTTTAGCCTTGCCGCGAAAGAAGCGCGCAGGGCGTGGACGTCGGCATTTGCTGTTCTGTTGGCCTCCTCCATCTCCTCGTCAGTCCCCTCGAGCGCTGCGTCCTTCCGCGTTTGCATGCGCTCGCGGTGCGATGCCATCCTCGCGGCTGTCTGATTGGCTCTCTGGATCTCGGTCAAAAACTCGTTGGGGCACTTGTGTGGCCCAGTTGCCTCTGAGTGCCGGTCACGTTGGCGTCGTTGGGTTTGTTTTCTGCTGTACGGAAACGCTTTCTCTTAAAAGGTCCTGGATCTCGCAGTTGGCGTCGATCAAGCGCTGGTTATCCTCCTTGACGATCCTGAGCGATGCGCCGACATCTTGGCCCTCCGTGGTTTCCCCGGCCCTTGTCTGCCTTCTGAGCGCTGAGGCTGGGATCCTGTTTGAGGGGGGCCTCCTGGCGGGGCCTGTCGGCCACGTCGTCGGCCGCCTCGTCGCCGTTGTAGCGGTCGCCCTAGGTGTCGCAAATTTTCCGCTGGACAATGAGGAGCTCCTGGATATTGTTTCCAGCTCGCTCAAGTAGGCCTGCATCCTATACGGGTGGGCTTTGGCGTTCTCGCAGTTGTCCTCCATGGCCTGCCCCGTCGTTGAGATATCCTCCATCTGCTGTGCCAAGGACACCACGTTGAGGACATTGGCCTTGCAAGAGGCGATCTGCGCCTCGGCGTCTGAAATAGATGGTCCTGCTGCGCTGTGTTTGGCAATGGCTGCTGCGGTCCGCCTCGTCTGTGCTCGGTATGTCTCCAGTCGCCTTTCAGCTTAAAGTCTTTGGGTGGCAGCCACCAGTCCAGCCGCCTGGTTGCGTTGATCCTTCATGGGCATTACATTGTTGATGGCGCTGGCGATGGGGTTATTGTAGATCTGGGCGTCGTCATTATTCGTGTTATGCTTATCGCGGCCAGGCTGCTGCCTCGCATTGCCCCTGCCCTTGGTGTGTTTTCTCGTTGCGCTTTCGGGATCCAACTGTCGAACTCGATGTCATCATTCGCAGATTCCCGGAACCATTATGATGTTGCTGTCCTTGCCGCTGTGGCCGCCCCTCTTGTAACTTCAGTGGTGCCCAAAGTTTGCGTGGGGGTGTTCTTTGGCCTAGGTGGTCAGTCCACTTGTGTCATTTCGAGCGTGCACGGCCAATCCAAATCGCCAGTGTCGTGGACCTCGGCGTAGTTGGTCTGCTTCGTGGGCGGCCCGGTGTTGACCTCCACGGTGGCACTGCCGTTCCCGACCCGCTCGCGGTTGCACTCCATGACGTCGCCATGGCTGGAATTTGAAGCGGGTGTCGCGATGGTTGCTGTGCGTTGTCATGCACGTGTAGCAGGTCGCATGCATTGCGGAGCCGAAGTAGGACACGGGCGTCAGCGCGATGTCGGCGGAGTCGTTTATGCCAGGCGGGGCTCGTTGACCTGGAAATCGTGGATGACGTCATGGGCCCAAACGGCGGGGCACGAGAACGGTTCCGGTTGTCGAAGTCGGCGTGATATCGCGGCCGCCTCGGCAGGGAAAGGCGGGCGACACGCTGACCGCTGCCGCGAAAGAGGTCGATGGGTCCTGTAACTCGCGGAAACCTCTCGGGCGTATGCGGCTCTCCTCCCCATCCTCCCCCTCCTCCTCCTCCTCCTCCTCCTCCTCCTTCCTCTCCTCCTCCTCCTCCTCCTCCTCCTCCTCCTCTTCCTCCTCCTCCTCCTTTTCCTCCTCATCCTCCTCCTCCTTTTCCTTTTCCTCCTCCTCCTCCTCCTCCTCTTCCTCCTCCTCCTCCTCCTCTTCTTCTTCTTCTTCTTATTATTCTTCTTCTTCTTCTTCTTCTTCTTCTTCTTCTTCTTCTTCTTCTTCTTCTCATTAGTATGTTTCTTCTTCTTCTTCTTCATATTATTCTTATTCTTCTTATTCTTCTTCTTCTTCTTATTATTATGCTTCTTCTTATTATTATTATTCTTATTATTATTCTTCTTATTATTATTAATATTATTATTCTTCTTCTTCTTCTTTCTCTTCCTCTTCTCTCCTCTCCTCCTCCTCCTCCTCCTCCTCCTCCTCCTCCTCCTCCTCCTCCTCCTCCTCCTCCTCCTCCTCCTCCTCCTCCTCCTCCTCCTCCTCCTCCTCCTCCTCCTCCTCCTCCCCTCCTCCTCCTCCTCCTCCTCCTCCCCCTCCCCCCTCCTCCTCCTCCTCCTCCCCCCCCTCCTCCTCCCCTCCCCTCCTCCTCCTCCTCTCCTCCTCCTCCTCCTCCTCGCCTCCTCCTCCTCCTCCTCCTCCTCCTCCTCCTCCTCCTCCTCCGCCTCCTCCGCCTCCTCTCGCCTCCTCCTCCTCCTCCTCCTCCTCCTCCTCCCCTCCTCCTCCTCCTTCCTCCCCTCCTCCCGCCTCCTCCGCCTCCTCCGCCTCCTCCTCCGCCTCCTCCTCCTCCTCCTCCTCCTCCTCTCCTCCTCCTCCTCCTCCTCCTCCTCCTCCTCCTCTCCTCCTCCTCCTCCTCCTCCTCCCTCCTCCTCCTCCTCCTCCTCCTCCTCCTCCTCCTACTCCTCCTCCTCCTCCTCCTCCTCCTCCTCCTCCTCCTCCTCCTCCTCCTCCGCCTCCTCTCCTCCTCCTCCTCCTCCTCCTCCTCCTCCTCTCCTCCTCCTCCTCCTCCCTCCTCCACTCCTCCTCCTCCTCCTCCTCCTCCTCCTCCTCCTCCTCCTCCTCCTCCTCCTCCTCCCCCTCCTCTGATGGTTCCTCTGCTGTCTGATGTACCTAATGATTTTGACCACATGGTGGCCTCCGGGGGGGGGTAATTCACGACGCCCTTTCACTTGAAATCTTTTCCAAAATGGCCCCAAAAAGGCCCCCGAGGCTCCCAAGAGTGCCCCAAAAGGTGCCCAGGAGTCCCCGAACAAAATCCCAAGATGCCACCAAAATGTCCCCCAAGAGACCCGACCCCGAGGCACCCAAGACGTTTCCAGAGCCCCCTGGGGGCCGACACGAGGCTCCCAAGAGACCCCAAGAGGCCTACAAGCAGCCTTCGAGAGACATCTTAAGAAACTCCGAGAGGCATCCAATAGGCAGCTGGCCTTGCTGCTCGACCGTTTCGTCCTCCCCCTTTTCCTCCTACTGCTCGTCCTCCTCCTCCTCCTCCTCCTCCCCTCCCTGCCTCCCTCCATCCCTCCGTCCGCCCTCCTCCCCCTCCCCCTCCCCCTCCCTTTCCCCTTGCTCCTGCTCCTGCTCCTCCTCCTCCTCCTCCTCCTTTTCCTCCTCCTCCTCCTCCTCCTCCTCCTCCTCCTTCTCCTCGTCCTCGTCCTCCTCCTCCTCATCCTCCTCCTCCTCCTCCTCCTCCTCCTCCTCCTCCTCCTCCTCTTCGATGGTTCCTGTTCAATGCTCCATGTCTTGGGGTTTAACAGCTTCCCATATGTTATGCCAATGAATGCTGCGGAACGTGCCTGATCAGGGCAACTCGCCTGGGCATCGTATCTGGATGAGCTGGTGGGTCTAGTTTTTTGATCGCGGGCAGACGCGTGAAGCTGTCGCCGAGAGGGGGGTCCTGGGCGCGGGCCAGCCGAATTAGCTACTGAGCGACGCGCAAGACGGCCGGGCCAGCGCTCAGAAGCGGCGGCTCAGGGGCTGCTGCAGGTGGAACTGGCTGGGTGGATGGTGGGTTTGCACGAAGCGTCTGGGATTCTCAGGCGGGTGTGGCCGAGTTGGGGCGGCGGGGCGCTCGTTTCAGGTCACCGTCTACTTCGTGCACGCGGCCAGGGTAGCGTCTGTTGAGGAAGAGGACGGCGACGAAGTGGAAAAACCTGGATCGATCGAGCCGCGATCGATCCTCGAACGGACGACGATGACGACGACGACGACGACGACGACGACGACGACGACGACGACCTCGGCAGGCCTTCGGGCACGACGGGCGGCAGGGGCTCCAGCGCGGCGGGCACGGGGCTGTAGACCTGCAGCGTGAAGTTGAACGGGGCCTCGCCGGGCGATCGGTTTGCTATGCCCCCACCGGTAGCGCCCGTCACCGGGGGGAGCGGGCCTGCGAGTGGCACAGCATGCCTGTGAGCACCAAGGCGTGCCTTCGAACACCACGGCATGCCTGTGAGCACCTCGTGCGTTCGGCACCGGTGCGTCACAGGGAGGGAGGCGAGGGGGGGCGGGGGGGGGGGCGTAAGGGACGTTACGGGTTTACCGGACAAAGACCAAATTCTCGTCGCCGCCGCCGCCGCCATCGAAAAGAGGCGAAGCTGCCGATGCCGCCACCCGTCCCCCGTCGCCACGCGCACAGGAGTCCCGGCGAGAAGGCACCCCGATAGAGAGAGATCCGGGCAGATGCAGTTTCGGTATCTGTTTGTTCCCCCAGTCGTCGCCGCAACAGCCGCCGCCATCGTCGTCAGCATCCTCTTTCCCCTTCCACGCGTGGCGGAATCACGCACGACGAGGAGGCTCGGGCAGTTTTTCAAGCATTCAGGAGCCCCTTCTGGGCCCCTCGGGGCGAGAAAAAAAAACTGGCACACCTTGGGTCATCTGTCGAGACCTCTGAGGAGGAGGAGGAGGATGAGGAGGAGGAGGAGGAGGAGGAGGGGAAGGAGGAGGAGGAGGAGGAGGCGGAGGCGGAGGCGGAGGCGGAGGCGGAGGCGGAGGAGGAGGAGGAAGAGGAGCAGGGAGGAGGAGGAGGAGGAGGAGGAGGAGGAGGGGAGGAGGGGGAGGAGGAGGAGGCGGAGGGGGAGGAGGAGGAGGAGGAGAAGGAGGAGGAGGAGGGGTCCACGGTGTGATGAAATCGCAGCGTCGGGAGCCTGGGCTCCCCCGTCACCTCCATCTCGCCTTGCTCCTCCTCCTCTTCCCTCCTCCTCCTCCTACTCCTCCTCCTGCTTCTCTTCCCTCCCCATCCTCACACACACACACACACACACCCTGCCACCATTCTTCTTCAGAGGGGGGGCAAAGGGGAGGTTGTCCAGGGGGACAGGGGGAGGGGATGAGGGAAAAGGAAGGGCAGAGGAGGCCCGCGGCCAGGGAATGAAGAGAGGGCGAGTTTTGAGGAGAGGAGGGGTCGAAGAGGAGGGGAGAAGAAGAGGGAGTAAGGGGAGGGGGAAGAAAGAAGGAGAAAAAACAAGGGGTTGAGAGAAAAAGTGACAAAAGGATTGCAGAGCCGACGTGGAGTGAGAAGGAGGAGGAGGAGGAGAAAGAGGATAGGAGAGGAGGTGAGGAGTGAGGCGGTAGGCGAGGAGAAGAGGAACATTGGGAGGGGAGAGGGGAGGATCGGGGAGGGAGTGGGCAGTGGGGCGTGCACATGGGGAGTGGGAAGTGGGAGGAAGAAAAGAGAGAAATGGAAGCAAATCTAAAAAGAGGGAACGGGAAGGGCGCAAAGGGGGTCAGGGAAATGTGGGAGCCGAGGATAAATGAAGACAGAGCGGGGAAGTGGGAAGGAGCAGCATGCCTCGTTACTCAGTATCCTCCCCCTGCTCCTCCACACGCCCTCCGCCTGCTGCTGCTGTTTCTGCTCCTCCTATTCCTCCTCCTCATCATCATCACATTCAGCAGCACCATTATCATCATCAACATCATCATCATCAGCAGCAGCACGATCATCATCATCGTCATCATCAGCATCATCATCATCATCATCAACATCATCATCATCGACAGCACCATCACCATCATCATCATCATCACTAGCATCACCACCACCACCATCACCACCACCACCAGCATCATCATCAGCACCATCATCGCCACCGCCATCATCGTCGTCATCAACATGATCAGCATCAGCATCACCATCAGTATCATCACCATCGGTATCGTCATCACCATCATCATCAACATCATCATCAGCATCATCATCGTCGTCACCACCACCACCATCATCATCATCAGCAGCAGCATCACCATCACCATCATCAGCAGCGTGATCATCACCATCTTCTCCCTCATACTCTTCCTCATCCTCCTCCTGCTGCTCCTCCTGCTCATGCTTCTCGTCCCCCTCTTCCTCGGCATCCTCTTCCTCCTTGTTCTCCTCCTTTCTGCCTCCTCTTCATCGTCCTCCTCTTCCTCCTCCTTCTTCCTTCAACCCCCCTCCCAAACCGTCAGCCCCTTTCATACTCCTCATTCTCCTCATCATTCCCCGATCGTCGTGCCCGTCATCGCCCGATTCCTCCTCCTCCTTCTCCTCCACTCCGCCTCATCTCCTACCTCCTCCCCAATTCCTTTGCTCTTCACCGCATCCACCCCTCATCCTGTATACCCACCGCCTTCCAGTCCTCCTCCTCGTCTGCCTCCTCCTCATCACCACCACCAACACCATCACCAGCAGAATCACCACCACCATCACCATCACTATGATCATCAGCACCACCACCATCATCAGCAGCACTATCATCATCGTAATCATCCGCCTCCGCATCATCAGCATCATCAGCGTCAATATCATCGTCGTCATCACCATTTTTTGTCCCATAACCGCTTCAAAGCCATAGTGCAATCTCCCTGCCAACATCTTTCCCGAGGATTCTATCTGACGTTCCCTCTCACCTTCCTGTTTCCTCTCCTTTCTCCACCGATTCATTCCCGTCCCTCCTCGCCCTCACCCCCTACTTTCACCCCCTCTCCTCGTTCACGTATTCACCTAATGATGGCGGGGTGGCTCTGAACGAACGAACGAATCTGCCACCGCCGTAAAGCAACCCTACATGGGCGGCAGACGCGCCAAACGCGCTGGCCTCCAGAGCAGCCGGTTTGCTGCTCAGATGCGAGATTAGCGCCAAATCTGTTTGACGTACTCGCCTACCGAAATCTGCCATGTGTCCAATTGTTCGGCCATCTCGCACCAAGATCCCCAACGTTTTTGGCGAAATCAGCTATGTCGTCCTCCCAACGGACGAACCGTCCTGATCGAGACCAGACTGGGCAATCCAGAGGGCCCCGAGATAACCTTAACCACCAATCATATTTACGCCATTCCTTTCATTTGTTTTGCCCATGTCCCCGGTGACATGATCGCCACCCCCCCCAGCCCAACGCCACGTGTTCCGCAAAAACGATTCCATCCATCACGCTACGCCTGCTTCCCGCGTTTTGAAATCTACCGCTCGCGTCGCCCTGCGTAACCAAGACATGAAATGTTCCTCCGGTTTTCGACCCAGTCCCATCATCCGTCGCAACAAAGATCTTTGAACACTGATGACTGTCTTTTTTTGAATATTGGTGAGTTTCCATGACTCCGCGAACCACAAAACAGTGTTTGATACTGTCGCATCAACTTCAACCGCTTCCCTGTCGATGTTTGTTGGTAAGTAATTCGGACAAACAAAGAACTTTGCCCATCCTGCTCTTGAGCGTGCCCATAATACAACTGCAATCCCAACGCGCAGTCGGCAACGGGATCTTTTCCCCATTCAGCTTGTTTTTGGGCCTGGAGAGGCGCTCTTCCCCACGCTCTACACACCGCACTTATCTCCACTTGAACTCAAACCAACGTTTGCCAATTATCCCTGGATATCTTGCAACACGATTGCCAATGCAGGCCTGGACTTTGCAACGAGAGTAGTGCCGTCAGCGAACATTGCGTACGCAATCCGGCCACTGCCCGCGCAGCTGCCCCAACATTGCATCCATATGATCACCACTGTCTTTCAGATTTACCATGGTGTCCCATACTGTACGCGCGAAGAGCACCGGTGACATTGGATCGCCTTTTCTGACGCCGCGCATGTGGAAGTACCCGCTGCGGGTGGGCTGGTCCATCTGTACGTAAGCCATGTATACACATGTGTATATGCACACATCTAAATGTACATATACACACAGATACACGGCTCTGACTTCTTTTTTATGCACCCCCGTTGCTCGAGGTCCCCTGAAGACTGCGGTGCGTGTACGATTGTGTCGAAAGCCTTCTCCGACGCTGTTGGCGCAAACCATGCAACTTCCCCCCAGCATTTCCGTCTCTGGCATATCATCCGCAGACAGTGCGCCAAATCAAAGCATCCGTACCCTTTCCAGAAACCCATCCCTGCTGGAGTTTTGACACGAGCCAATCTATGTTTCATATGATTCAACAACGCACTGCTATATAGCTTACTCACTACAAGTCTACTTGCAATTGGTCTGCAATTCGTTGGCAACGTGATTTTCCCCCTTGTTGAACAACACCACATAATCTGACACATGTCATGATTGTGGGGCTCGTGTTTCTCCATTGAGAAAGCGGGTGAACACATAGCATATTGCATCGCGTGCATATCCACCATAGTTTAACATCTCTGCCGAGAGACCATCGTCGGCGGAAGCTGTCTTCCGATTCAACTTTTCAATCTGCGCGCGGCCATGCGATGATTTCTTTGCGCTTCTCCCATGGTTTCCCTGGGTGTCCAATAGAACGGCTGGTCGAGAAACAAAAAAACTAATACCTGTGCAGGTTCTGCCTTTTCTACTCGCATGTTGCCTTCGCTGTCTCTGAAGCCCGCAAATTCTCTTCTTTGTCCGAAAATGCCTGCGACTTCGCTGCAATATGTTACCCGCCCTGTCGTGAGGAGCCCATGTAAATGCCGAGCTCGTGTTCCCCTCATCTGTTGCCGTAGACCCCAGTTCAAACGTATAGATTGAAAGTGTTTGTCTTCTTTTGTGGCAACCTCGTCTCGTTCCTTCCGTAGCTTCTTTGTTGTGGCGTTGTCTCCCGGGTTGTTATTCTGCTCCCTTGCTGCTTTGCCACACTCTGCCGCTGCCTTCAACCTTCAGTACTGTTTCTGCGACTGCCGTCGCATCAGTGGGGCAACCCGGCATAGCCGTACTTTGAGCTACGTGGTCCACCTTCTTGCAACTAATGAGTACCCAGCCTCTTCCGACTTTCGGTGTGATCCATACCGTTTTTTTCTCGTTTTCATGTTTCCAAAGTTTGCCCACGCAGCTCTGTGGTCTGAGCGGCAAACAATGTCCATAACAACATTTGTGTTGACCAATTCTGCGTGCAAAG